GGCTTGAGAGGTTTAGGGTTTCCCCATACCTATGTACCTTTTTTTCAGGCTCTATTTGAAGCCAATGTGAGAGACTTGTGTTTTTTCCAATATGACTTATTGTGGCTATAAATGTTAGAAGTTATATCAGTTTGATGTTGTGCCTCCTAGTCTTACCTGATCTTTTATGTGAATTATAGATGAAATGATGAGATTGTTTCGAATATATGTTAAAAGTATCAGTAAAATGGTCTGTAGTTGTTTGCTTGGACAAACTCCTTCATAAAGAGTTGTAGGAGAAAAAAATAAGAAAAAATGAAATGAATTTATCCGTAAGTTAAATTTAGCTTATGAATAAGATAGTTTGTAGAAGCTCTAGGGTGTGGCTTCTCTAAAACATTTCAGTTGGAAATCCTAACTGCATAAACTATCTTTTAGACAAGCAAATCCGTTTATTATTGTCACCAATTCTATTTGCTACACTGTTATCTGTTGTCAACTGCCACAACCAGTATAATCACTTTGACCATACATAAAAGACACATGTTAGTTCAAATTGATTGATAAAACTGTTTCTTTTCTGATTAATGTAGTTTTACTTTATAAAGTTGTCAGCTGTCAGTGAAACACCAGTACAAACCTCATTATCTTTGATGATAAATGTTTTATATCTTTGAAAAAATAAACAGGTTTTACTTTAAGAAAAAATCTGATAAGTAGACAATTTGGGTGATTATGTGATATTAATGATTCTCAAATTCATATGTTTTTAACTTTTTAGTAATTTAGAACCATGGATTTTACAGTATCCAACTACCTTCTGGGAGGAGATATTCAGGCTAGGGACTATGTTGCTACAAATGAGGTAAAAGAAAACGGTGTAGTTGATAATTATGGATTTTCAGAGAAAAGATTGCAGCGGGGCCCTGATTCTGAGCATATTAGGGAGGATACTGCTGTTGAAGAGTCAAATGGTTCACTTCAATCTTCAGTGACTGCCGTCCAAGACCATGTACCTGCTTCTCCTGATCAACCTGCTGGGGAGCCCCAAAAGCACACTTACGCTTCCATTGTACGCACTGGCTAACCATTATATTAATTTCCAAAATAATGTTTTCTTTTGGAATTCTGTTATGACATTAGAACTGACAATGTTATGGACTGTTGGAAGTTACGGGTTGCTAAAGGACAATCTACGCCATCTGTTGCTTCTCAATCCTCTCATAAGAATGTCTCCCCTTCAGAATGGGATCAAGCTCCACAGAGTAGTATTCAGCAACTTCCAACGACTGCTTTGACAAATGCATTTGAAAGGTCTGAGACTGATGCAGTGGAGGAGCTTCCCGTAACAGAAGATGAAGGTTACTGTGTGTACTTGTTGAGAATTAATTAATTATTCTGTCCAGTTATTAGTTAATTACTGGTATTCAGCACATCTTCATGGCTCATTGCTTGATAACCTAATAAGTTAGCTTGTTTAAAGACTGTTTCATGTAGTATATATCAAGTATTCATTGGTAACTATCAATAATCTTGGTCTTCTTGGAATTGCTTTCAGATGAAATCAAGTCTGTTTATGTGAGAAACTTGTCCCCTACCGTGTCTCCTTCTGAAATTGAAGAGGAGTTCAAGAATTTTGGTAGAATCAGGCCTGATGGTGTTGTTATTAGAAGTCGCAAGGTTTATACTCCTCGTTTTCACATAACTACTAATTATGGTTGAGTCTAAACTTTTCACATGTATTCAGGATATTGGTGTTTGTTATGCATTTGTTGAATTCGAAGATATGACAGGCGTTCATAATGCAGTCAAGGTTTGGATTTGCTTTTAAATATTAAGTTTGGGATGTGCATTATTCATGAATTGTCATGGGTAATGTGCACCTTAACCCAAAATTAATACTGAACATGCTACTTTGTGTCAAAGAATCTAAAATCATGATTGTTTATATTTGCAGACAGGATCTGTTCAGATAGCAGGAAGACAAGTATACATTGAAGAAAGGAGACCAAACAGTAACATCCCTTCTCGAGGAGGAAGTATGATTTTCTTAATTTTTTAATTTTTCTTCTGTTTTTTTTTTCTTCCAAGTTCGTCATCATGAATGTCCCCAACATATTGGTTATAACATGTAGATATGGTAAAATGATGAATCTGTTTCCACTTTTGCTAATGGAGATATGAGTTGATGGTACTGGTAAAATATTCTCATGTGACTTGCCTTTTTAACAAAGGAAAATTTAGCAATGATATGCCAAAATTTTATCTCAATGACATTGGGTTCCTGTGATTTCTTATAGTCCTAATATGTCGACTCAATGTTTGGTGACTGTTTGACATTGAGAAAGATATGTTAAATTTTGTTTCGGCCAACCTCTTGTTTCACTGTGGTTCATAAATTATCACAATGATCTACACAATTTTTTACTAGCAATATTTTATGTACCAATATAGTTCCAGAGAGGTTCATTGCACCCTCCATGTTTTTTCCCCATAATTCAATATTTTTAAGCTACTTTTTTCTTCTTCTTATGTTACGTCATACCCTCTTTCAATGCATTATCTATCGTCAGGACGGGGCAGAGGCAGAGGTAGTTATCAGTCAGATGCACCAAGAGGGCGTTTCAATTCAAGGAGCTTTGGCAGAGGAAATGGTCAAGATGGTGGTGATAGGGAGTACAGCAAATCGAAAGGAAATGGTTTCTATCGACCGAATCCTCGCCAAGAGAGGGGAAATTCAGGGCATCATCACGTACCAAGAAATGGGCAGAACCTTGCTGAGTCCTGAGTCAACAGATAACTTCTGCTAGAGAGTCCAATTTTGGGTCCACATATTTCAACTAAATAGTCAACTTCAGTAGATTAGACCAAATTTGATATTTTTCATGTCTTAAATTAAGTGTTAAGGGAATATGGATGGGATAATTTCGTTTTTTATTGATAAATTTTGTTCAAGGGGCTTCGTGTTTCATTTATTTCTCCATGAATTCGATGTTTAGCTGGAAATGTGTTTAAAACATTTGACATTTATTTATTCCTAATTGAAATTTGAAATTAGTTTTGTTAACAGTTCTTTGATATGTAATCGTTTTAACAAGATTGGTGGATCAATTTTTCTTGTTTATATAGGGCTTTTAGCAACTGGCCTTTAGACTTACACTCTATTCTGAAATATTATTGTCCAGGGTTTTCCTTTCTGCATTTTCATGGATTCTTCCTGCACCTTTACAGGGTTTAGGATTTACCTGGGCAATGTGAAAAGTACTCTTTCATGCGAGTCATTGGAAAGATTCTAGATTGATTGATCCGAAAGGTTCATAATACAATTCTGAAAGTTAAAATTTTGGGTATTGTATTATGAATTGCATAATGTACAACTTTTTATTTTGAATATTGTCCAACATTTTCAATTATATAATGTAGAATGTATTGTTAGATTGTATAGTCCAAAAATAATTCAGTTATAAAATTATATTTTCAAAATTGCTTGCATAATCCTAGGAACAAAAAGGGGGTAGAGTAGGTTTTTGAATAAATAATCCCTAGTGTGAAGGAACATGAACAGAAAGGGGTAAAGTTTGTAACCCTGACAATGGTTGTTGTGATAGTGTCATAGGTATGCACATTTGGGAATCTCCATCCTTTGATTCTGAGAATACCTGGTAACGGAGTATTAGAAAGTGAGTTTTTAAGCCTAACTCAACCCCACAAAACCGGCTTGTAGGGTGAGGTTTGCACCTCACTTATATATTATAATTTGGCCTTATCTCTAGTCGATGTGGGACTTCCAACACGGAGGGAACCATCTGCGAATCCTGGTAATTGCTCCTTTCTCCTTCCTCTCAATGCTTAGCTCAATGCATGACCCTTCATTATCACCCCTTTGTTTTTAGTTAATTCACTATCTTCTTCTGTCTTTATTCAGACTGCTAGTGACAACTAAGTGTTTATAAAGGACATAATATAATCCAAAATACAATTTTTAAAGCCAAATTTTTGGATCTTATATATAGTTGGTGTTTCATATAGCTTTGGAAAAAGTAAATTTTGAGTTAGGAAGTTTGTCGTCTTTAAATTTAAACTATTAAATTAAATGTAATTTATGATTTATTTTTGTTCTCATACTAATTCTAACTTAAACAAATATAAGTATTAAAAATATATAAACTTAACATAGATTAAATGAATACTAATCTTAATATTTATTTTTGTCATCGACTGCCGACGTTAACTTACTTGCTTGTAATATATGCTAATACCGGTTAATTTATTTATTTTTAATATCTATTTAAATTAGTGTTTGTTTAATTTCCACTAACTTAATAATTTTTAATATTTATTTAGTTAAAGTCAAAATTGACTTTTTTGTTTTTAATATTTATTTTAGTTAGTATTTATTAAATTGACATTACCATAAATATTTATTTATTAAAAATTATCTATATTTTATTCCTTTTTAATAATTATTTGTGTGAAATCGATTTAACTCATTCTAAGGTACAATATGATCGACATTAATATTTAAAAACTAAATTTATGTCTTTTTTTTATTGAATTAATACTTTAATTTGAAATAAAATTATAAAAATACGAGTAACTTATTATTTTTATTATTATAATAAATTAATGCACGAATTGCTTGATGTTGAATTATGGAGATTACTTAAACTGTTTAGATATAATATAAATATTTAAAAAGAGTACGATAAATTGTTAGTATTAGATTTGTTTTTCATTGTCTAAAGCTTTATATAGAAACTAGTTTCAAAATTAGCATTAATATACAATATTACCACAATAAGTTTCATACATACATACGTTTACTATATATGTCACAAATAACACAGTTAAACACAAACTAAGTCGTAGAAAGTTGTGACATTTTTAAACACGTAAGCATGATTTGTAATGACACAATTTCAAGTCCTACAACATACCTTTTACTAACAAACTAATCCTGATATAGACCGAAATCATAAGAACAAACATTTCCAGATCATGATTCCTAAAAAAGGGAACAAATTAAGGTTGTAAAACTTTCGAGCACCACTGTGATTTGCTATGGTTAGTACAACAAAATTGTTCTCCCTTATTCACAAAATCGCTTATTTCTTTCCCATGCACCTTCACGAAACTCACTCACCATCTTCTTTCTTTCCAAAGCATTGAAGCCATAGAACGCTTCTGATAAACTCAACCACAAACACTTTCATTTCAATTTTCCCATTGATCTTGTTGATGCGATTTGATTGTCCTTGCTAACAGTGCTATCATGTCCAACATTTTAGCATGTTTCCAACTCCTAGAACTCAATGTCATATCTGCACAAGACTTGGCTCCTGCAGGTCGTTCAATGAGGACCTATGCAGTGGCATGGATTGACCCAGATCGCAAACTTTCCACTCGAGTTGATTCTCACGGCGGAACCAACCCAACTTGGAATGACAAGTTTGTCTTTCGAATTGATGAAGACTTTCTGTATGATGAAAAGTCTGTGATAACTATTGACATTTACGCTCTTCATTGGTTTCGAGACATTCATGTGGGCACTGCTCATGTTCTCTCCAGTGACATTTTTCCACCACCTTCACAACCTCAACCCCAGAGAAACACTTACACACCCACAGGAATGAGATTCATGGGGCTTCAAGTTCAAAGACCTTCAGGTCGCCCCAAAGGAATTTTGAACATTGGTGCTGCTAGAATTGACAGTTCCATGCGAAGCATGCCTCTTTACATGCAAAACTCCCCAATAGTTGGATACAGTCAAGATGATCATGATCAACCAAAACGTCAAGCCAAGCCAGAGCTTCGACGCTCAAAAAGTGATTCCAGCTCAATGCTTGGCTCAGAAGTGGTAGTTCCCGACCCTCAAGCCAAGACCAAAAGGGAGAGGGCAAGTTCTCAAGTTCTCGCTTCAGAAATAAGCTCCAAGAAGAGTAAAAAGAAAGCTAGCTCCATATTAAGTGCCACATTCATGAAGGGAACCCCAAAAGATGGCAAATTGGGTAGAAAGAAGACTAAAGCGAGAGGCCATGATTCACCAAACAACTTCAATGCAAGGGTAAATGTTGATTACCCAGTAAAGTCCACGCCCAAGCGCCAGTTTCAAAATTCTCCCTTTCCAGCCAAGTCTTATAATAACAACAACAATTACGTAGGTAGTGTGAGAGCCACTCCATTGCATGCCTTTGCGATTGCAGACACGACAATGGAATATGGAACCCCGTACCGCTCCAACTTGGGTTGTCGTCCTTTTATGACGGACTCCGAATTAGGTCCGTCAGCTTCGGAGGTGGTGGCGAGACTACCAATGGAGGAGGGGGAGAATTCTACGGAGGGAGGGTGGAGCTTCGATGACGGCGCGGAGGGCCCGCAACCTAAGGTGGAGAGGTGGCAGACGGAGTCCAATGTCACGGGGGCAAGCAGAAAAGGGAAACATTCACGAAGGCATGCAGATGGGTCAAATGGGTTGTTCTCTTGCTTCAGTGTAATATGTGGAGTTGAGTGCTCCATTGTTTGCGGTGGTGGCGGCGGCGGCAAGAAGCATCGCCGGCGGAGGGTTCAAGCAGTGGACAATGAAAGCTTTCTATCAGAAGAGGAGGCGTATTGAGGGGTGCATGCTTGCATGACTGGTCGAACATGGAGATAAGAAAATTATGTGAGAATTGAGTAAACTCAATCTTCGTAATTCATTGTACTTTTTATGTTTATTTTAACCTGATTCTTTTGTACTCCATTGTGTTTCTAATGAATTTCACGTTGCAAATCATATGATCTTTGTTTACTGATGTTGTAGAATGCATTTTTAGATTTTGATGATGGTGTTTACTTTTGGATTTTGAGGGCGGTGAATATTTTCTGAAGAAAAAGAAAGGTGATTTATTAAATCGTATTAAGTAGAACAAAACTTAGTATAAGTTATTATTGTTCTCCAATCAAATTAGATGTTTCAATTAATTTCTTTCTTCTCATATTACTAATATGAAATTCTATCTGAAAAAAAAATACCATAAGAATAAATGTTATCAAATTCGAGAATTTACGTAGATTCGTGAAAGTCGAGAACTCGATTCGTAAACTCAACTCATAAGAGTTTACTTCAGATGAAAAAAAAATATATAAATAATATTTTAATTTAAATAAGTCTACAAAATTATATAACTTTAAATAAATAAAATTTATAGTTATATTATTCATAAAAATAAATATTGTAAAACATAAATACATGAATTATTTTCATTAATTTTGATGCATTTCATTAAAAATATAACTTTCAAGCTCGCAGAATCGCTCCAAACTCGCGATTTTACACGATCCTACCGATTTCACGGTCGATTTTATTGAGTTTACGCAGAAAATGAGTTTACTTCCGAGTTAACTCGGAAGTCATGTCTGGAAACTCGAGAGTTTGATAACCATGATAAGAATCCTTCTTAATCATACAATATCTTATTTTGTCAAGTGAACAATCCAAAGATAAAACTTTCACAAAAAGTAACGAAGGAGCTTCTACTTTCAAGAACAAACTCTTAATTCAGTAAATTTCAAATTTGAACTTGTATGTTAATCTGAGTTTATCTACCCACATATATGAGTAACTATCAAGATAAACTTGGAACAAACAGAAAAGAGTTCCTAAAAGCTGGATTGACAAGAAAATCCATATGAAATCAGTCATTCTAGTAGCTGCAACAACAATGATCATGCTATACTCAACAAGCACAAGATGAGTCAATCTTCTTTGACATGTACCACAGTGCCAATTTCACAGAAGTTACATAAAATTTCTTCAGGCAAAAAATACTAATGGATTTGTGATCCTGCTGGTATTACCTCGTGGCTAGAGAATACATAACTAACCAAAGTGTATAATAGAATGAGGTGTAACAACTTCCTACTGCAAAAACTCTCTAGGATCAGTAACATAACCAGTCAATGCAGATGCAGCAGCTGTATATGGCGAAGCCAAATATATTTGACCTTCCTTGTGTCCCATTCGGCCCGGGAAGTTCCTATTTGTAGTTGAAACACAAACCTGCACAACCAGAATGTAAGCAATGGGGTAAATTATTCAGATTCTCAATATCATCACTTGGGTAGAAAGCATATAAATGCAATCATACGACAAAGGAGAAACCATTTAATCCCTTGGCATAACATAACAGTATCACTTGCTTAAATATTCAGAAGCATACAGCTTTATGATCTACAAAAATCTATAGAACTTCAAGATATATAATATGATTGCATTGCATGTACTAGATAGCCACCATAAAAATTAAAGTATATTTTAGCCTAACCATTTCAGGCTTCTCTGATACTGTGTCAAATACAATTCTAGAAAAGTTTTTTTTTTTTTAAGTACCCTTTTGTAACCAAGAAAGACCAAAATAGATATTCTACCGAAGCTGATTAGAGAGACTTCTAATCTTAATGAAATGAAATTTTTTAAAAAGTTGTGTCAGATAGCCCTAACTTTATATTCTCACCCAACTTTCTTCATTATTTTCAAGCCAGAAACAAGTTTCTACTTTTACCCTTTGTTCACTTGAATGAATTTGGGGGAAAATAATTGACTGAATTTGAGAGGATTTGAAGATAAATTTTTTGGTTGTTTAATTGAGTGAATTTGGAGGTAAATGAGAGTGAATTTGGAAGCAACATTTGTGAGAATTAGTGTAGGATTTGATTGATGTGACAGATTAAAAAAATTTACTTCCAAATTGACTCTCACTTACTTCCAAATTCACTCAAATAAACAACAAAAAGAATTTATCTTCAAATCCACTCAATTACTCTCTCCCAAATCCATTCAAGTGAACAAAGCCTTAAGGAATTTGGTTTTGTTTTACAAATTACAGATTTTAAGCTAAATGTCAACTGTCAATCGATTGTAAAATAAAAATTACAAATTATTTGTAACATTGTAGTTAGTATTGCACAATTCACATGATGATTCACCCGATTCAGTGCCAAGACAGGTCAGTGCCAAGATTTTCAATTCCATCAATGTAATAAGGATAAATGTAACATGGGGAGAATTTGAACTACACTTGTCAATTGCAAGATATGGGGAAGAAGTAGGGAACTTGCCTGAGGTTCATTCATGCGTGCATAAGTATCTTTTGGGCCACCCAAACAAGCACCACAACTAGGACTAGCTGGAGTGTCACACCCAGCTTCTTCAAATATCTGTGAGCAAGTCTTACCACCAGATCCAGGAACTGGGATGCTGTATACGTCCATCCAAACCTGAAATTTCATTAATAGATACCAGTTGGAAAATAGTCATCTAGCATTATTTCCCAATAGAACTTTATTAATAACTGTACATCAACTGATGAAAATATACAAACATGAGCTTCTTTTCAGACCTTTTGGGTAGCAGGCACAAGAAACGTGGGAACTTTGACCTTTTTACCCTGCAGATTCAGACATTTTCTAAGTTAGGGGAAGTAGTTCTAGGATTCATGTTGGAAATATTAATAGTTAATGGACTTGGGAAATAATATGTTTACATATCAAAATGATAGTCCTCATGGGTACTAGTGACTAGAAAGTTACATGCAATTAACAACTGTAGCGTAAGAAATAGTCTCCACCAAGTCTATCAAAATCCTATTATATGGATATTTTGCATAACACACGTAACACATTCTATTGAATAAGCAAGCACATAATCCCATTCTAAATTATCGCTATAAAATAATATTAAGTTACCTCTATTTTCTGGTTAAATTTAAATAATTCATGGGAGAGACATAGGCACAAAGGTCACAAAAAGGCTGGTAAATTCTATAAGCAATGCAAGATAAAATACCATACAAGAAAACACGATGACCAGTCCCATACATTTTAGGATACAAATTGGTTATGCCATACTAACAAATGAAAATAATAGTAAAAAAGTCTAGGACTCAGCTAGAAAAGCTTCCAGTAATATCTTATCATAGATTATAGATATACAATAGGAAAATATGATGCTTACTGATGCCAGAAAAACTTTTGCTGCAGCCATGAAATCCTCTGTTTTCCCACCTGTACAAGATCCTATATATACTCTGTTAATCTTCACGTCCTTGCACTCTCTTGCCAGAGCACGGTTATCAGGAGAATGAGGCTGCAACATTTATAAGCATAATATTAGCAAGGGAACCTAATGGCAGCATCATATAATAACAACACAAATGCATAGAAAATAAATACAATACAAAAAACCTCACTGGAAATGCAAACAAAGACTAACCTTGGCCACCACTGGCTCCAATTTTGAGACATCAAATCTATACTCTGAGAGAAATCTAGAGAACAACAAAAAAAGGGTGTTACTAATAGATAAACCTGACTACCATTGAATACTATTTCTGCAGCTAAATCAAGTTTTTCTCCAGTACAAAGATTATAGACATTTTTTTTCCTTCCCCAAGTTTAATTCATAAGGGATGCAGGTTAAAAAATTATTTGTTAGAGATCACACATAGACTAGAGATATAATCATGTTATAAGTAGGCAAACCTCACCTACAATCCGGTTTTGTAAGGTTTAATAAGTTCACTTTCTAAAATGGTATAAAAATGCACTATGACCAGGTTTATTAAACTTATTGCGTCACCCACTTTTAGACCAATTATCGAACCACCAACAAATATCTAAACTCTCATTGCCTATCGTAAGAGACTGTGTTGTAGATCCCAAATCAATTAGGGATATAATCATATTATAGTATATAAGTAGTTCTAAGAGTGATAACAAGCAAAATTCATGCATCAAAGCTTGGTTTGATAAATTAAACCCATATGTATCTTGAGAATCCAAGGGGGTGATCATAACTAGATCTATATAGCATGCCAATTTCAATATAACATTGCCAAGAAGCAGCTATCATAATCATAACACACCGAAACATAAGGATAGCAAATAGTTAGTCTTATACTTTCTTCATGAGTACCATATCATCCTCCTCATAAGATGAAACATTTTCTTCGTAAAATCCCCAAAGTCAATATGAAATCCAAAGTTGTTCTTCCCACAAAGTAAATATCAATTCCTTTACTCATACTCCAATGACAGGATAAGAGTATGAAAATCTGTAACTATACTATACCCATATTGAAAAGTCGATATGAAACAACACAATAAACTTTTCCTTACCATGCTGAGAAAGCGTGAAAGAAGAGACACAAACTGGCTGGAAAACCATGTGTCTCAACTACACACCAAGTCTGGTTTATATAGAAATATTGCTTTAGTATCATAATTACATGATATTTAGTTTCTCAAATAACTAACATCAAATTGATAAGTATCCAATCACTAGGAGAACCCACCCTCAAAAGTTAGCTATTAAAGGAGCAAAACCAAACACTTATGCTCTACCAAGCATCCATATTACACAATGGGGGACTTAAGCACCCCATAATACCCAAGTTCCCATCACAACAAGTCAATCTACATTATTCTAATAACTCATGAAAGAAATCTAAAGTAAATGCATAATATTTTATACTCATTCTCAGTGTCTATTTATACTGACTATGGATTTTATATAGTGCACCTTGTCCATCAAAACTTTCAACAGATAGAAAGTATCTTATTAAATACAAAGTTATACAAAAGCATTGAGCTTTCCCGACACTGAATAAAACCAGGAAAA